GGAGGTGTTTAATTACCTCAGGAGTCACAGAGCTGCACTTCAGGCGAACACAGCCCTAACGGTCTCATTACCATTAACACAGAGTCACTTACCGATCACAACTTAGCAAATATCAACTAAACACATTTCTATGCAGGCAGAGTTAAAACTACCATGATCCAGGTTACCTGAATATTCTTTGTTTCCTGTGTACACTAAGGACTAAAGTTTTAAAGGATTATCCACTACTGTTCTCTGTGCTTCAGAGTTTCTCATACGCACGAGAAGGTTGTGACTTAGTTTGATGTCTCTTTTCTAGTGCTTAGAGCTCCGTAACTACTGAAGCAAGGTTGTGTATCTATACATTATTGTTAGTGACAGTGTTTTTCTTTCCCAAACACAAGCTGGGAAAGGAGATTAAAAAAACTTTTCAAAGATTAACATCAAGCTTGCTGTGCCTGTGCTGCAATGGTTATAGGTTATGTTAAATCATTAACAAATAGTTATGTCAGTAGCAATTTTTGGTGTTGCAGACAGAACCAGGGCAAAGTAAGTTTTTGAGACAGATCTCACAGAACACGTCGCAATACAAAACCAACAATCTGGGCACTGATTCTTGAAAGAAATTCAACTAGTGCTTTTAGAGGATGTGGTCACGTCACGTGCAAAACCCGAGTTTGATGAGATACCTAACGCAGAAGACAGGAAGGAGCCACAATTTCAGAAGGAAAGCAGAAAGTCAGGAAATCTCTAGTCATCTTGATTTGCGGAAGAACATGAATGACTCCATAAATACCCATATTATGAATTTAACAGAAATAATTCTATTAATAACTAGCAAATCTTCCTTTTTCAAATGCTATTCTGAAAAACTCCATTGGGGTAGCTCTATATACTGCACACTATGCAAGAAACGTAGGAATATTATTTACAGAGTAAACAGGTTCTGTTGTAGTGAACATAACTGTGTTTTCTGAGAGTATGAATAATACCTCATAAGATATAAGCTGATGGTTCAAATGTTCAAATTAACTTTCAAGACCTTGCCCCCATCCTCCAGCTCATAACAAAAGCTTATTTTGACCTCTTCTGTATCTCCAAAATCCTACCAGATGAGTTGAGTTTTTTCTGCCTCGGGGTTTTGCTACCAGCCTGCCTTAGAGGCAAATGGCAGGCAGATTTTACTGAACAACTGTTCTTGAATGCTTCAGTTTTATCCCTCCTGTAAGCACATCCCTCACTTCTTCCTTCAGTAATCTTAGATTTGGGGAGGGCAGGAAAGTGACTCCTCATCTTGTATAAATAGGCATTAAATATATAATCCATACTGTGCACTATTTTTTCTTCTTTTAAAACTAGATGCTATATTTGCACTTGTGTTTACCAAAACAGTTGCTAAGACATTTCCTTTTAAATTTTCTGCAGATTCTGTTGTAGAAGGAATATCATTACAGTTATTTAGTATAACAGAAATAAGCAAGAGCATGTCCAGCATCGTTTATAAATCTAAATGCTGTGGCTTATGCCAATGATCCATGCATTAATGAGCCCATAAGCACATATTAACATAATACATGATAACAGATTTAGTATATCATGCCCATAAAATAAGCTCACTCCTATTCACTGAGATAATGTCCTCAAGGAGCTCTGTTATTCTCAAAATGTAAAAGCTTAATCAGATTTTCAAACCCAAACAGCACACTTCTCCGTGTTTGAAGGGGTCTGATGTTGTAGGGATGAAGTATGCGTTTATTTCCTATAATTGACTTATGTAAACCATTTAAAGGTAGTTCTTAAAAATGCAATAAAATGTCTATAGCTCTGAGTAACTTCCAAATCCATCTCAAACATTTTTATAAGTGGTTTTCTTTAAACATTCATGTGAAGATAGAGAACTTGCCATTTATATAGAAGGAAAAGGCTCTATGCTTCGTTTTACAACAAACTAAAAGTCCAGAAGGCTACTCACAGCCTTTCTGTGTTTCAGCTTCCCTATTAGGTATAGAAGGAGAATATTGATAGGTATTTTGCCAATTCCTTAAGCTTTCAGTTTATTTGCTCTCTTCTAAGACTAATCGAACACTGTAGGATGTCTATTTTATATATGCACACTTCTACTCTTTCAGTCAGGACTATTGCAATAGGCATGTCAGAGTTTTTAAAAAAAAGAAAATGTTAACATATTTAAAGAGACTTAACAAATAAGAAAAAAAAAATTCATGTTTACTCTGCAATAAATTAGTACATAAGACAAAGTAAATTATACAAGCAGAATTATGATTGTTTCCTGCCTAAAGAGGCAGTAATACTTTAAAAAAAAAAAAAAAAAAAAGACTGTGACCACTCAATATGAAGATTATTTCTAGCCAAATAGACACATATACATGCAGTCTATCCTGAGTGTGTTTTTAAAGAAGATTTTTATACTTCTGGCAGTTCAGGTTTAAAGGTCAGATTTAAACTATCACCATGTTTCAAAATGCAATCTGTGCAATGCAGCATAATGAAATGGTTCAGTAAAGGTGCTAGTGGAAATTCTTTTAATTAGGTCCAAGGCTTTTCAGTTGTCAACATGAATAAAGCAAGAAACATTCTATTGCAAACACAGTGTAAGAAATAAAAATGGATTCACCTTTAAGAAAATGGTTCTGCTATAGAGTTGTAGTTTAGTAGTTCTTGCTGTCCTGAAAGCAGTTAATTTCCCACTAAGTGAAAAACAGTAACATAGGCTTCCCACTTGTGGAAACTTGTTAATGAATGGACAATGTAGCATACACAGCTAAATTACTGACAGCCTAAGATATTCATAGGCTAGTGCAAATTTACAATACTCTCACAGCCATCAGATATGCAAGATCTCTTTGGCGCAGTACACTGCATTGCATCAGGGCTTCATTTAATAAAAACTACAAGTTGACAGAGCGAGCTTATGCTTTATTCCTTGTAATATGAAGCTCTGACTACAACTAAGACTAGAAGATGACACTTATTTGGAAATACATGAAAAATCCATAAGGGTTGTATAAAAAAAAATTACTACCCCCTCTTTGCTATTCCTTGCAACACAGACGGTGGTGTAGGAGACTTGTCAGCAGCAGATGCACTTATTGTAATCACAGTCCTTAATAAATCTCTTTTTTTAATATTGACTATTTTAAAAGGAAAGTTACTTCCCAGGGCGTTCTCATGCTGCCAGATTTTCAGCAACATATCAGAAGCAGAAGGTGAAGGAGAGAGAGTTTTTCACATTTCAAATATAATGCAGTAGGACACACCTTGATTTTCAGGGACCTGACCTGAACAGTTCAGGAAGTCTGACTGCTAGCAAGTACTGCTGAGGTAAACCAGGGCGAAGAAATTACTTAATCTGATTCTGCTGGAACTGACTCAATGCTATCTGCTCCTTTGACACAAATGTTAACTGGAAAGACATTTCACTATAGCCTGTGTTCATTTGGATCCTAGGAGTAAAAGATTAATGAATAGTTCATTCCAGATTCCTGAGAATCAACAGTTTAGGTAGCAACATGACTATCATGAAACTCAAGCACAACTCACTGCCTGAAGCTCTAAAATAATCATAGGACTTCATGGCATTGTTTTACTTGATTAAAAAAGCCGTTCAAGGAGAGGGGGAAAACAGCTTTAAAAATTTTCCACTGGATTAATTACCTGATGGTGAATGCATCACACAGAAGATGTTTTTCCTCACTGTTGAATGTAGATTAATTTAATTTAGCAAAGTAAATTTTGTGTCTATTCAGCAGTGCGTGAACTTCTCACTGTTCACATTAAGTAGCAAAACTGGCAGAATAGTTTGACGTAACAGCCATTTATGATCATGAAACTGTTGAAGACTTTTTTAGTTTCTCAGATCATAAATGCATCTACTTAGACTGAGACCAGTGGGGAGACACACTCCCAGAATCTCCCCATCCTCCCAGGGAAGCAAAAGAAAAAAAAAAAAAAGAAAAAAAAAGTATAATGGATTGGCTTTAGAGTCTCCCTGCTGAGATGAACAACTTGATCCACTTACAGTTCCAAACACATGATGCATGAAAGAACTGACAGAAATTCAATTCTTGCAAAGAAGAGCAGCTGCTCTCTAGTGGTCAAAGCCAAATATTAAGCAGTCTGAAGGAAAGGAAAAGACCTAGAGGAGAATACTTCATTATCTAGGTAACTAAAATAATGAAACAAAGCTAAATAAGACATAAACACTGATCCCAAACATTAATTACACAATGCAACACGATTCAAGTTAAGGCTTTGTTGCAACAAATATTAATCCCAGCTGTATTTATATAGCAGTTGTGAAAAAAAATACACCATGTACACTATTTGTGAGCCATGCCAGTTAATTGAATTTGCTGGCAGCACTTCCTCTGCTATGCTCCAAACATCCTCCAAGATAAAATGTAGCTTTTAAATAGACCTGTGGAAAACTGAATCAAGAAATTTGAACTAATAAAACACAACTCTCTACTGTTATAAAAGTGAAGTAAAAGTAAATAATGAAAGGAAGGAAGTCTCTTAAAATTTATTACATTCCAAAGCTTGAAGTTCTGTGTTTATTGGTGAAGTCTCTTCTGATGTTCTACAGTGCGCCTACAACAGCTCCTTTAATGAAGTCTCATAAAATCTAATATAATACTTGATTGTTGACAAATCATATACATGTTTGAGGCCCCGCACTCACTGTATCCAGACATTTCTTACATAATTCCATGAAATTTACAAGTCTGTCATTCCCTGGGTTGTGGATAATGGCACGAGCGATGACCAGCTGGCAGATTTGGATGCTGGGAGTGAAATCAAAATGAAAAACTATATAAAGCCAGAAAAACTCATGGAAGTAACTTTTATAGACTAAATGCTTGACTAAAGCCAAAATGTTCACAATCAAGATGGACCTTTCATCCAGAGCTCACTGTTTTCGAAGAATGGATCACACCACAGATCATAGAAAAATGACAGGATGTCACAGTAGGAGGCACTGGGTATTCACCATTACTTGAGTTTTTCCTCAAAAGGACCAGCTTATATTGAGCTCCCTGCATATCAATTTTATTTCTCAACTACACATAAAAAGGTATAGATCTAACTGTCAGCACAATATTTTGAACTAGTAAAAGAAATCCAGATTTTCCCCTGCCGTTTTCTCCTAAACAGTCACCCTCTGACTTAAAAATAGCTTCTTACACTCTTACTCACTTTACTGCTCTTGCCTCTCAGCTTTTTTAGTGAAGATGATTACAGCAGCAAGTAGCAAGCTGGATGTATTTTTGTCCCATTAAAGGGAAAGATCAAGTATTTATACAACACTTCTATCAAATTGTTAAAAAATAAAAAAATTACTAATGAAAAGTTTGAATTAGAAAGAAAATAAGTTCCAAAATATATGCACTGAGCAGCGCTAGAAGCGAATATGAAGTAGTCCATTTGACATCATAACTCAGGATATAAAATGCACTAAGTTCATTAAAGCTCGCCTGGAAGAAGTCACAGGAAAAAACCCACACAATTTCATTCGGAAACAAAAGTTATCTAAAAATGCAGGATATTTTTTTTTTGTCCTAATGGAATGGATAAAGATGGTTTCAAACAGTAGTACTTTTTCACACCATGAGGAAAGAAGTTTGAATTTTTGTTTCCTGTTCAGATGTACCATAACCTGCGTGCTTATCGTCCGCCTTTTTTACCCATAAAAGACTAACTCTTTAGATGACCTGAAACTTGACCATGCTATTCCAAAACTGAAACTGGGTTGCTGCAGCATTTCTAGCTTATGTGAGCATTAGCTAATTTTTATTAGGAGGTTTAAAAATATGTCTGAAATTTTCAAACAAACATTGCTTAACACTTCAAAACAGGAAAGAATTGAGGTAAAGCAGTTTACTTATAACAACAAGAGTAACACAATGAGACACCTCAGTTACAAACGGAATGGGTCAAAAGGATTTACACTTTTAAGTAATGGAATAGTTGAATAAATCATTTCATACATACCACATCATTAGGAAGGCTCTGAAGGTCATCAAAAGGGGTTTCCAGTGTGTTGGTGTCTACATTAAGAATCACTACATCTTCCAGGGCCATGTTTCTTACTTTCTAAATATGAGCAAATTCAGGAAAAGGGAAAGGAAAATATAAGCATGAAGAGTTAAATCTTATGCATAAAGGACACAAGTGATGGCACAACATCATGGCACTACAAAACTTCAAGTATTTTAAAAACGACAAACATTCCTGTTCTTCTGTCATTTACACATTTACAATGTTGAAAAATTAACCTTCAATTTGCAGAGGGAAGTTCTTAACATTGTGCATACTGAAATTTTTGAAACCAGAGAGTTACTGTTGGAGATTATTCAAGCGAAGATTTATTTCAAGCACCTCTACTAATGTTTATCTTACTTCTGTCCTGTTTGCACATTTAGCAGTTTCTAGCTGAGTCAAGATTTCAAGTATATCTTTTTATATTTAGAAATTAATTTAAATAACAATAAATAGTGGCTTTTCTAGGAGTTAAGAGTTACAGTAAATCAGGGATGGGAACTGGTTTCCAAATTCCAGGTCGAATTTTGGAACTCCAATAGAGGCAAGTTTACAACTGTACTTAAGTAAAATGGACATTACCAGAGGCTAATAAATAAATAATTAAAATGCAAAAAAGCTAAGAGAAAAACAGCTCCACCATATCCTGGTCTCTTAATGTTCAGCAAGTCTAAACTTTTTATCCTGTTCCCATGAATTGAGAGAAAGAAATGTCTCTAATCTAGTTTGAGTGTTTACATCATCTGTAACAGTCCATGGGCATACAAAAGAAAAGCATAACCTATTTCTCAAAAGAACGACCATTAATACCTTTGACTTTAAGTGTCTGAAGGTATTGGTGATCTAAGCAAATTTAAACATTGTCAGACTTTATTTCCCTGCTTAAACAACAGTAAATGAATCACTGATATGAAACAGAGCAGCATTTAAATAATTATTTTAACACTTTTTCCACTAACAGGAGAATTGAATACTTTTTTTTTTTACTGTCTAATCATACATATTTAAGCCCTCTTCAAATACAGCTTTGAAAATTTAAAATCAGAAAAAGTGGAACTATAAAATACAGTAACTAAGGAAATTTCCCAGTGACACTGTAAACAAACGTTTAAGTACCAACATACCTATGTGTAGGACCAAATGCAAGTTACTGAGGAGGAAAATGAACAAAAACATACTCAATTTTTAATTAAGGTTTTGCAGGGTGGGGGGAATTGTTTCCTTCAAAAGAAAGGAACTGAAGCTCTAAAACAATGGCAAAGTTGAGCCTTAGGCATCTAAATAATTACCTTCAGTTTTCAAGGCTCAGTTCTCTGTCTATAAAGAAAACTGCTGTGTACTTAAGGGGGGCGGGAGGGGGCGGGGAAGCCAACAACTATAAAAAACACTTTGTAGACATTTAAGTTTAGGTCTTCCATGAGAAATGTCTTTAAGTTAAATGGAAGAATATTACTTTTAATGCTTTCCATATAAAAAGCACAAGTACTGCATGACAAACCAGGTACTTTCCTCTACATTTCAGGAACCAAAGGTCACTCTGTTGGCTGCATCTGATAAACTCTAAAGCAGTCCAGGAGTCTTGCTCCTTCTAGGAGTCCGGAAGCACCAGACAAACTGATTTGCTCCTTCCTGTTTCAGAAAATTAAAAATCTCACTTATACTCAGAGGAGTCTAAAAAGCTCCAACAAAAAGGTCTTGCAACGTACTTAACTAAAGCCAGAAGCTTGTCAAAATCGAGTGCTAGTAGGACAAGACAGAAGGAATTAAAACCTTCTCTTGATTCTTGCCGAAGAAGCAACAAACATGTGCTTGAACTTGTCAATGGGTGTTTTTGTAGCTTTGGTGATGAATCTGCACCTTCCCTTCAGCAAAATGTTGGGGTTTTCCGCAGCAAAGAATAGGCTTGTGACAGGCAGGTGTCTGCCAAGGAGTATAGTACAAAAGGATGGTGCAAGGACTATAAATGCTGATCAACGTAATCATCTCCACACATGGCCCAGAAATAATTGTATCTGAAAGGAAGGCTAATATTAAACTCTGCTGTGCTATACCTTTACATTGTGAAGAGCACAATCTTACTTTAAAACTTTTCAATATTTTTATTAAGACAGTGGATTTCCCTGGAAACAAACCCTCAAATTTAATAAAACACTTGAGACTAACTTGATTTATAGCATCTGTCTTGCAATGCATTTGAAAAAATATAATTTTTCAATGGTCTAATTGTGGCTTATCCCAGAGAAATGAAGACTGACCAGTTCATCTTAATCCTTATCTGTTTTTATCATCTTTCCTTTCACTATAATCTTTGATAAAGGTATTATCAGATAGTTATAAGGGCTTTTGTCAAATAATCAAATGGTTCTTTTGCTAAACATAGTACCTATCAGCCCAACTGACCTGGAAATAAAAGTATTTACTCTCCTGTTGGAATTTTAGTAAAAATTCCCAGCATCCACTGCATTTCTCACATTAAATTCCATTGGACTCTATGAATCGCAGCTACATATAGATCATTTTCACAGGTACAGTTTGCATGTTGTCATAATTTTCTCAAAATATGAAGGGACAGCCACTAAGCCATGTATAGTCACATTCCATATTTCACAACTTCCTGAATATCTAAACAAAATTTTACAAATAAAGTGATACCTGTTAAACAGAATGGACTATATTCAGTATGTTCATATTTTGCTGAAAAAAATGTGGAGAAGCAAAGAACAAGAGGAAATATGAACATTACAGTTTCCTTATCTAATTTTACTACAGGCTAGGGATTTGCTGAGTCAAAAGAAGTGATTCAGTGAAAACGTGCATTAAATATCACTACCGCAAACCTTTCTTAACCATCCTCACCGAATTACTTGTAGCCATAATTAATCATCTAAAAACCATCAAATCGAACTAACATCTACACCTGCCTTTTATTTTAAATGTCTCTTTTTAAAAGAGTGGAGAGGTATGGAAAGCTGGTTTAACAAGCACACTGAACCCATTGTTTATGGCCTCTATAAACATGGCTTAGTAAGAATTACTGACTTAATCAGAGAGAACTTATCTCCTGGTGAAAAGAGCACTTTAAATTTCAGAAATGGCACCTTTACTGTGAAAATCTCTTAACTTTTCAAACAAACTCCAGGGGGCCTTAAACACCAGGTCAGTAAATAAGCAGCAGTTAGTGCGTCTGTCCTGCTCACAAGCAGGCAAACACTTGAAGTAATTTAAATGTTTTATGTGAAAGTTTGCAAAAACACTGAGAAACTATATTCTAATAGAAGTATTAAGGGGTGCGCCTCTGTCTCACTCAGATCACATGCTAGAAGCAATATCCATCAATAATACTAACATGAGTTTATACTAAATGTTATTTTATTATCACTGTCTACCGCTGGCAGTTGTTGCATTTCCTACCATTAAAAAAAAACATCTTAAGTTAAACTTCTTTCAGATGAACAATTTTACTGAATAGTTCATATAAAAGGAAAAAAACCAAACACCACCTCCTCCCCCCCTGAAAAATGGGTTTGCATAACTTCATGGCTAAATTGGTGCCAAAACATAAACGAAGTTGATCATGAAGTTTCATAACCAGATACAAATGTGATCAACAGATTAAAAAATATTGTAACAGAAAAAAGAAAATGTACCTTCCACTAATTCTTTTGGAAAGGTAAAGCTCTTAACAAAACCTAACATTTTCAGTAGCTAGTTTGTACATTATATTTGAAATTATTATGAGAGTATGATTCACAACAAGTCTAAAATCCATTTCCTTAATGACTTGTCTCTACTTAGTTAATAGTTTCCATTTATTTTCTTAGGAAAAACACCACAACACTGCAGACAACAATGTGTCAATCTGGCTGCCAGAAGCAGGAAAGGCAACGGATATAAAATTTTATTATTTCATGCCCCAACAGCAGCCAGAAGGACTTAATGAAATCACCCTTAGATTTACAATCTGAAATAGCTATTCAACAGACAAATCTGGTTAAGCTGGATGTGCCCCCTGACCTCTCAACCCTTTGATCTGGGCACAGCAGGTGGGCTGCTGCCCCCTCCTGTGCATCTCCCACTCTTCCGCCGATCTCCCAACCTTGATGTGCAGTGCCCTGATCCTGTACAGGTGATTCTCAAGATCCTTATCACAAGCAGCTGTTGCCAACTGAGTGACAAGCATCACTAGTGCTGGTCTAACACTATTGTACAACGGAAGAAAAACCTCCTATGCTCACTGGTAAGTCTACTTGGTACTGCAGTATTTGTCTGTCTTCAAACATCCACACACAGAATCTCGTATTAAAACACAGTTATTATTTTCATTTTTCCAACAATTGGATAAAAGACAATTCTCTAAGCAATTTGTCATGTTTTTAAATGCATTTTTGTCGATACTCCTGAAGCCATGTACAGCCATATTCATAATATTAATAACTAAATTACATGTAGTTTTTTAAGACCTGGATTTAAGTATATATACAACCCCTTCATTTAAACCCTGTAAAAAAGCTACACTTCTTCAGTTATAGCTAGAAAAGGCAGTGATTTATTAAGTATAAATGGATGGAAAAAGCTAACCATTACTCCTCACACCAATCAAAAAATATCATTAACAATTAACACTACCACTAGAAGATGCCAGTGGACAATGAATTCTCAGGGTGTCGTCTGCAGCAAGGGGAAGCCACGTGGCACCGTCAGTACTAAGGCCAAGCTGATGTAACCTGTTTCTCAGAGTTCGTTAGCTCGGATTCCGTGCGTGCTAACTAGCATGTTATCAGACTGGATCACAAAGAGAGCACTCTCACGGCTTCCTGAAAAAGACCAGGTAAATATGCCAAAAAGTGCTTCCAGAATGCAAGCGTGGGGTTCAGAGGACTTAACGCACAGCTTTCCATTCATCTGTCTGCATAAGGAAGAGACTATCGACATTATGTGAGATCGCCTGCTGTATCCTAGCATATTAAAGACAGCATGAATTTTAGTGAACCTTCTTTTCCTAACATGAACATATTTACGTATACTAGGTTAAAATAAAACAAAAATCTGCTCGTATAGGTTTTATGATATGCACAACTGTCCTTTATGCTTAGGAAAAATGTTAGAAAATAATTTTAACAAATGCAATGTCGTTTCACGCACAAATTCCTTCTGGATAATCTTGCAAGAATTAAAATTCTGAAGTCCCAAAAGTCTTGAGTGACTGGAGTATTAAAAAAGAGTATAAGAAATACTTTTCTAATCATTAACTTTAACTCTAAAGGTTGGTTTTGTGCCCTGAATAGAGTGTGATAAGGGTGGGCACTATTGTTATTTGAATGACTGGAAGCCTGGCACGGAAGAGTATCCTGCCAGCAGCTCAGTATCTGACAGCTAAACAGAACTGTCCCCACTGGTTAATCAAAACCACATGTGCCTAAATTCCAATAGGTAGTCTACTAGGTCAAGGGCATTCCTCTTCCATCAGCGCCATCACACTAATAACCTTTGCTACAAAACAGTTGCTGAAACAATCGTTTACTATGACAGAATGTAAAAGGCTGCCAGCTAAGTTTGACACCACTTATAACACAAAGGTCAATTTAAGAAACAATCTATGTCATCTACTATGACAGAATGTAAAAGGCTGCCAGCTAAGTTTGACACCACTTATAACACAAAGGTCAATTTAATATAATTTGAACACTAAAATAGCATAAAGTACGCAGGTAGAAAATGAAACAAGGTTATGAAAGGGATGTGTTCATTTGATAGAGTTTCATTTTCCTATCTCATTATTTATCAGTACTAAGTACTTATCTTCATCTAATATGAATTCAATTAGTTCCGTAAGCATGTTCCATTATTCATGTGATAGCTCCAGCCTTGCTTATCCAACAGCTTATAAACTTTTAGCCTTCTTTGAAGTCACTTTATGGATTGCTAAATGGAAATCTTATAAAGAATGACTAACTAGGTGATGATAGAAAAGCTGAAAAATAAGAGCACAAAACACAGCTCTCTATTTTCTACCAAGATTTTCCCTCATAAATCAGTTGGAGCCCTCTGACCTATAACGGGAGATTATCTTATCTCACTGGAGAACATTTCAGTCACAGCAAATTAGATTTAACAGTCAATGGATATGCTTGATATTTTAATCATAAGAAAAATTTGTCATTTTCCATTAAAATAACTGCTCCTTCTACAGAGACCCCATGTAACATTGGAAACTGCAAACTAACTTCAAGATACACAATGGTTTGAAAAAAATCTTTTGAGGTGAGAGAGAGGTTGTATTTTGTTTAAAATCATTAACGTTTCTGCCGTATTTCTTCCAGAGGACGCACTCCAAGATAGGGATAGCAAAAACTCACAGAAACAACACTAAAGCTAGAAAAAAAATTTTTTTCCCTACCTCTCCTTTACACCGCAGCTTTCTCTGCGCAAGTTTAGGCTTCCACTAACATTTACGCAACAATGACAAATTCTGCAATTGGAGCTGCTGGAGCAGAACCATGAGCCTATATATAACTGCAATTACTCCCATGGGGCTCTACAGTAGATAAAGAGTCCACCTGTCTTAACTTGAATAGAAGACTGGGGAATTAATCCCTTATCCTGAAACTAGAACACGTGGATTAACAAAACACTTTTAAAGATCTATTTGCTGAAATTTCAGCATTTAAAGAAAAATGAATACTGAATAATGACAGTAGTTTGTAGTCGTAGTTTATAAAATTATTTTGATATGTAAAAATTACTACATTGTATTTTTAAAAATACACAACTGCTAGATCATGAGAAAAAAAAATTGCTGTTGCTACTAAGTTGTTATTCAAATAAAATAAAACAAAACACAATTTTATACCTACATATGAAGAAAGAGACAAAGGGAGTAAGCTTTCAGCTTCAAAAACAGGCAAAGAGGTAAACTAGTAATTGTCTAGCTCATTTGACGAATGTCACTTTTCCTTTGCCCAAGGCACAGAGAAATTATGCAGTACTTGCCAACAAACAGATACAACAGCCCACTGTGTGATTTTGTTTTATTTTTCAATGGAAAAAGCACAGTTAGCTGGAAGATGCATTTCTGTCTGGAAGTATTCAATTTATCCTTAAGAGCAGAGGGAGGAGAGAAGACTGTTTTATTTATTTAATTTATTTCATAAGGCACTTTGAATAACTGTACTTTGCCAAAGTGTGTCTGTGTTCCAGAATCTCTGGCTATTCAAAAGCCATACTGGATTTAGTTCTAAACAGATTTTTTCACAAGTTACTAAAATGGATGAAAATTGGCTTCTCCAAGAACAGCTCCTTTTTTTGAGTTTTTACAGATGGAGTTTGGAAGGCCTACAGAGCCCTGCAATCTGAAAAACTGAGACAAAGGAAGAGGTAATGGGTTTATGTAGCAAGGCAGGAGTGAGACATCATGCAAAGCAACTCCAAGATGTAATTATTAATTTTTTTTCTATACCCATTGCCAGGCTAACCACATTGCTCTTTGTGAGCAAAAATATTTGTGAAAGCTGACAAGTATCTGTATTGAGATATTATCCCATCCTCTACCAGGTCTCTTCCTTCTTTTTCAAATAGAAAAGATACCATAGATAGATATCATAATAAGCGTGCCAAGGATCACCTGGTACAGATATGGGGCAGAAAGTTTCTTGATCAATATGAAAAATATATGCTAGACTATTTCTTCTTAGATATTACTTTGGTCCTGTCTATAGAACATTCAAGGGTAATTATCAGAAACCCCTCTAACATAAGCATATGATGCGCAAACAAATGTACATGTTGACTTTTAAAATAATTGCTTATTCACTAACACGTTGTACTGCAATTCTGTACTTTATTTAGCAATATAAAGGGCATAAAAAATCATCTGTACCCAAGATGGTAAGGAAAAAAAAGAAAAAAGAGGTCCTGCATATTCCACTTAGCTTTTAACGAAAAAAGTGACTTCTAAAATTACTTCACATTAACGCTGGAAAAAGGGGGAAGTTACATAGCATACGAGTCTAAGTTTTAACACACAAAGACATAGAGGATTATTATTACATACATATGCCCTAGTGAAATAATATGTTTGATCAATATTTCCAGAGAAATTACACAATTTTATGGACAATATAAGAACAAATATTCTAGTAATACGCATCAATTTATGTGATGTAAAACTCAGCTTTGTAAATTGTTATGTATCCTAAACATTAAGCCTAAATTTCCAAACACAGGAATCTAAAACAGGGACACAAGTCAAGTAACTTTCAAGGGCATTTGCAACTCCTACCAGTTCAACACTGCCTGCTAATTTAAGAGCCTACAAAGAGGCAATGCTTTCTGGGCAGGAATCCCTCTTCCCACACGGAGCATATACACGTTGTTCAGACCTCCTGCGTGAAGGGGCACAATTAATAAGGACTAGGATTTTCATAGGGATCTAAATTAATAGCTTATGTTGTCCTCCAGATACTTTTGAGGAAAGTCATCAACTGTTTCACCAGTACTGGAAGCAAAAGCAAATGTGCTATTTCCACTTTCAGAGTTTTTAAAAAGTCACATGAATTACTCTGAATTGTTTATATGTGAAGCTTTCTGTGAGGGCTGGTTTTCTGCCAGCTTTGTGTTAACATTAACAGCAAGTTCCTTCTTTTCAGATCTTTTGAACATTAAAAAAATTACAATCTGTCTGCAAAAGCCTAAAAGAGAACTGTAACTGTCAACATTTTGGTTTAATATCGACTCTGCCTTTGTGAATACAGAGTCAAACTAAGGCAGTAAACTATTTAAATGAAGCAACAGGATGGAGAGGGGAACACAACGTGAGCTCGTCACTGCTGAACTGCAAACAGAAAGTATGCCCAAAGAGTACAAGGTGTCAAATAAGACTTCCTTAAGATTTAACATTATCCTGTATGCTTAACTTCAATTATCTCAGCACTCCCGAATTAACAGGATTATTTCATTTTTAAGCATATGAATGAATGTATAATTGCCTGCAGAATTTGGCTCTAACTTATAAAACTATACATAGTTTTAGAAATGGTGAGAAAAACTTACCTCCATCAAACTTAAATGTATTCCAATGAGGTAGGGCATTGGGGCACTGCAAAAAGGAAAAAAAACCTAGCTTTACATTCTCATAACACTGGATGAACGTATATGACTTATAAAATTAGCTACAGGAAAATACCAGGATACTGGATTAGATTTTGCTTAAAAAAAAAAAACATATAAAAACAAACCACATGTGAACAAAATTTTATTCCATATTTGAAAGACTTTTTTTACTATGCAATATCCTCTCACTACTGTAAGACTTTAATTTTTCTTGACATCAGAATTTCTAAGTGACTAAGTTAAGACAGGTACAGAAGGACAGCTATTAAACATATCTATAATGCTGGAGTCTTTTTTTTAAAAAACAAACAAAATGTGTTATTACAATTTTCAAAAAAATACCCAGACTTTTTCTAAGAGTATCCTTTAGAAAAACTGATCCTGTTGTAGTGTGAAGTGGTTAATTTAATGTAGAGATATCACCCAGTACTACAAGTTTTAAATCCTTTGCATATGGGTCCAGACAGATTTTAAATAATTTCTTTTTAAGTAAAAGTCTTGAAATGTTTGCGTATGTAAAAGAAAAATATAAAAGTTACTTTTGAAGATTCTGATAAACTCCAGTTACTGGGATAGACGCTGATACCATTATTCCCTTCAGAACACAAAACTTAAACACACCAAGAGGCTCTTAGGCCAAATTTGTAGCCTCACACACAGGCGTGATACTTCTATTATCAAACAGAATGCTAACATTTAAGAGAAAGATTGATCTTTTCCATCTTCTCTTCCATGATGTTAGCAAACACCAACATGGGCTATGTCACACAATACTACTACTGAATGAAAGTTGTATCTTTGTGTATACAGTATTTCTAATATTAAGCTTATTACAGGACTCCCACTTAACTAATCAGGGAAAGCTTATATTTGCACTGCTTATTAGAACACATCAAAGAGGATGCCAAAGCTGCTAATTGCAAATATGGCATATACTGCCTGTTAAACGGAAAGCACACAGACAGACACAACTTTTAAAATAGAGCCTCATTTCATTTTGGGTACAGAAGCTCAAAGAGCTCATTTTCAATTTCAGATGAAAAAATGAGAGAAATGTCACTGTACTGCCTTGGATTAAAATATCTTCCACACTGCTTTGATAAACTGGTGCCTACTGCTCAGTAAGAGAAGTACAGTGCTGAAAAAACTACTGCAAGACACCAGACCAGCAAAAATCATGTTTATTAATATACCCCCTAAAACTGCTGCTCTGTTGGATGCAGTACCAAGAGATGGAAACAGTCTCTGTATTAGACATTCTACATGAAAACACTTTTTCTTTTTGAAGCCATTGAACATCTATAACTTCAAAAAAAAAAAAATCCTTACAAGTTCATTTGTAGAATACTGAAGTGCCGTGTATCACATTACATTACAACTTACTGAACTGTCTAGGCTGGCAAGAATGCCCCCACCCAAGCTTCACCCAATACAGCACCTTATGACAGCCCAGAGGGTTACATCAGAAACTAACTTGGTACAAATCCTGAAGGTTCTGCTTCCTTGGGAATTCCACAGAGGAGAACCAGAATATACATCCAAGTTCTTGGATAGAAATTTTTACTATACAACATGATACCACTTATTACATATGGATTGCTGCTCAACTGAGGAGTATTTTTATTTGTCATTTTGCATGTTTTATTTGTGACAAACACTCTCTTTCACCCACATCTCTTCATTTCCAATGGCCACATTCCAGGAGCAAGAAAATACCCAGTAATTTTATATTCAAAGTATAAACCATTGGTTTAGCTGCCAGCTGCACAAATGCTCAACTTCCCTGTGTGCCTGGCTATGCTGCTCAAGACTCCTCCAGTATGCACTGAAATGAATGTGTTTCTAATTAAGTAGTTTCATGAACACGACAGCTTCAATCTCAAAAATACAAAGTCTGAACCTCGGCAGGAAGTCTTAAGACTGCAAATGTCTCATCTAGTGGAACCTTGGCTAATGTAATGAAAGGAAGCAGGAAGAGTGCAGTATTCCAGAAAACCAGCCATTTATTAACGTGTCCAAAAGCAGAGTCTGTCACCAAGCATAGGAAAATCTGAACCTGTAAAAGTTAATTAACTGTATCATGTCCCTCTTTCAATCCTCCAGTTTGTCAAAAGAATAATAAGAATGCCTAAACCCTTAAAACCGTGCACCCCCAGTAAGATTTTAAGGAATTACAGGAAAGATGTGGCTTAGATATATAGATTAGCTTTGGATGCAATGAATCATATGTTCAATTTTCTAGTGACAGACGTTACATGTAAAGGCAATACAGCATATAAAACTATTACAGGGATTGCATAAAGGCTACAGTAACCTGACTTTTAGCAGTGTTTTGAAAGCTGTTATTTCTTTAAACTTGTATTACTAAACATTAAAGGACTCCAGTCAGATGCTTAAATGGGTTGTACAGTGCATACACTTGGACAGACAGGAGAAGGCAGGATGAACAATTTGATACTATAGAACTACAAAGAGTGGTTTTAGCATACCCACTGCTAAACAGCTCAGGTTTTGCTGATCGAGTAACTTGTTAAAGTATAATGTGCTAGTTTTGCAAATATTTGTGTTAGCTTTATGAATAGTTGCAGAGATTTCCACTAGGGAATGAGTTAGAGCACAAAAGAGGACATTGGGTATTTCTTTGAGAAACATTTAACACATGGGTGAAAAACTGGATCATGGAGCACTGGGACATGACATTGGTACACAGAATGACAAGTCGACAAGGTACATGCTATGGAAGGCTCCGAAAGATGAATAGTATGTTTGATGCAGAAGAGAAGATGGAGAAAGTAGAAGGTAAATGAAGAAGGTTGACAAAACCATAAGAAAATTACTTTTTCAACATGTATAAGCAATTGCTTGGCTACAGAGGTCAGAGGGAGAACACTGAATGGTCGGAGCTTGGGCAAAGATGCCTGGAGCTACACAGATGAGTAAGAAAGGCCACATTTCAGACATGAAGCAGAAGAAACACAGGCCATTTAGAAATGGATTAGATCTGAAGACTAACAAAGAATTGCCCAAGCTATGGGAATATATGAAAAGAAATTAACTCAGTTTTATCCACAAAAGCCATTGCTTGTAATGACTGAAAGACACCAAAGAGGAATGACAGAGGGAGGCATCTACAAACCTCTCAGCAGAGAATCAAGGGAAACAAATGCAGGTTTTAGGTTGTGTGAAAGGTGACAGGTGTGGAGAAACTCCATGAAGCACTTGTTTTTGAGGGTGCATTTGTGTGAAATTCGTTTATTCAGAAGTGCTTTAAAATAACCATATTTCTTTAAACTTGTATTACTAAACATTAAAGGACTCCAGTCAGATGCTTAAATGGGCTGTTTTTAAAGCAAAGATATTTTAAGGATAATTCACCATGATAGCTCCTTATAGTCCCAAAATTTTAACTATGCAAACATCATAAATAACCTGAATAAAATATAGTTCTGGTAAAGAGCATAAATATTTCCAATAAAATCTACCAGAGAGATTATATTCTTCTGTCACCACTCAGCAATCTGACTGAAAAGGAAACACACCTAAAAGTAAATATTGAAGGTTCTTGTCAAGCTTCATAAATTGCTTTTATCACCATTTTTCTTTATCATGTGTTAATCATATGCCATTACCTTAATATTCAGCTACCATCCTGTACAAGGGAACATTGTGGGCCTCCTCCTCCACATTCAGAGCACACTATAATAGTTCTTCCTAACTGCTATTCAGGTCCTGAGACATATGCTCAAGCAGTTTTTAATATTTTATCAGGTTAGATGTGTATTTCCAAGATTTTCAAGTGAACTTCAGTAAGACACATTGCTTGTATAAACAGGAGAAACACTCCGCACAACCTTTAATCCTTCTGGGACCCATGACAGATTAAAGACTGCCCTTCAGACCAGTCTTTACCTACTGCTTGACACTTCATCAGTCCTGGGGCTTCTTACAACCACAACTACTAATTACTCAAAGTTGTTTGATGGCAGCCAATATCCATTAAGTGCAAAATTAAGAAGTATCAATTTCTACGGCGCATATTTACTGCTTAAACAAAATGCCTGCCTAAGTCTTTTGGAACAAAGAGAAAGGTTATTACTCCTCTTGTGCTTCACTGGTTCCCAATGCAATCAGTGTTATTTATAATCAAATGAGTTATATAGGTAAATATCAAATCATTAAAGTAGCAATGCATAAGCATGAATATGGATATTGTGGACTTAATGGCTATATATTGCCCATTTATTACAGTTGCATTTTTACAATTTCTTTAATTCGTTTCCTTAGGCTAACTAGAGACCTCTTAATTATGCTCCCAAGAGGTGGGCAACTACTAATTGGAAGAGAAGCAGGTGAAATAGAGGGACATTTCCTCTTAAGTGAAAAAAACCCACCCTTAAAAAATACTGCAATTCACCAGAAAAAGTAATGCAAAACCCAAGGATCTCAAAAAGGTTCATAGTTTACAGCTACACAGGGATTTGCACCATTTTGCTTCATTGTTCCAGGAAAATTGATTAGATCACATTTACTAAGTTCATGTCTTGATATACAAATACTGACTTAATGTGTCGCTCTTTCACACCAGTTGTACTTTACTCCCTAAGGTAGTCTCCTGACTTCTCTTCAGATTACTCATTGAAATGCAACAGAATTCAATCCGAAATTTATTGGGGTAATTGATGCAAATTAGAAACTTGACTGCATAAATTGGAATGATGTAGAAAACATACAGCTAAGAAACCAGAGGAGCAACTACAAGAGCTTTTAGTGAGTACACAGATGTACCAGGCTAAATGGAAATGCCTACCAAGAGGCTCATGACGAAGGAATCATTGTTTCCCGAGCAGCAGGAGTACTCGCCCTCCAGTTACCCCCTCCACCTACTTAAAGGAGCATATTGAACTATATGCAGATTTAGAAAAACAGGAGAAAGGGAGTTAAAAAAAAAAGTCCTGGAGAAAGCGAAAACTGCACCAATAGACATTT